GACAATGCTCTAACGTGATTACCCCAACCGCCCACCTAAACAAGCGAGGCACGATTTTCAAACGTTGGTCTTCGAGTCGCATCACTCTGTTACCTGTGGGTTTAACTCCACAGGCATCCAGGGATGCAATTCATTGGCCTCCTGACTCGAGACTAACGTCCATGCCAAATCTTGCCTACCCGCTTGCGTCTGACGCGCAGGGATCGTTAGACATTTCGGTGTACTCGCTGTCCGAAGCTGTCTTGGGGGCGACAGCCGGGCGGGCACTGGGAAAACATCTGCTACACCGGAGGTGGGCTGTGGAAGGAGGAATGTCTTTACAGATGCGATATTCGGCTTGGTTCTTTCCAAAAGGCCAGCCGCATCGCGTGCGCCACCTACGGGGGTGGATGTTCAATTTATAAATGAGTGTCGCGTGATATCTGCCACCTTTGGCGGTGTTCAAAATTGTTACCCCGGGCAGATTATCGTCCGGTACACTGAGGTGTACCGACGCGTCACAGTCCTCCAACATGTCTAGTGCTGGTGGCATGAAGGTTGCTTTGCAATCCTTAATGCGCTGTTGGAGGTCAGCTAACTCCTCTTGAGCCTTTCTGACTGACATGGCGGCAGTTGACTCTAAGGCAAGTCGGTCCAGCTGGGCAACGGGAGCGTCTTGGATGTAATGAAGAAATACATCGGACCCCCGTCTTCCAAACAGTTGGATTCGCCAGAGTTCAATGTTGTGGGTCGCCATGAAACGTGCGCCTGAAACTCGGGCACTGTGGCCTGTGTAGGCTCGTGCCCCGTTGGCGTGTGTGATTGGCAAAAGGAGCTGTTTAGCTATGGCTTCGAAGGTGTCGGCCCATCCTTTCTTAGTGGATTCCAGGCCGTCTTCTGCAGGAAACAGGAGTTGTTCAGGATCCTCTGGCAAGTCGTTCAACCGACCCAGCAGCAAATGGTATGGGCATAGCTCTCTTGAGTGTACCGCACACGAGCACGTATGTGATCGCGTTGCACCAAGTGCTGCTTGGTCTGTTTTCGAGCTTGGGAGTCTCCATGAGGCCTTGAGTGTGCCTTCCTCGATGGTCACGTGTTTGCGACGTGCCCGAGATGCTTCGATCTCCCGCAGCAACCACCACGAAGCGAGTAAGGTTGCAGCTGTCGGGTGTGTTGGACCGCCTGGAACTAAAGCTCTTTCGCCCTTCAACTCAGCCACCTGCTCCATGGGAAGGTGAGCGGCCTGTTTTGGGTTGCCGATGCCTCGCTTGCAACTGCGCACGGCTGACCGGTAGGCTTGTTGAAGCTGGCAGTCCCACGGCTGTCCAAGAGCAATGTGACAGTTCTTGGCAGTGTCCAAATAGAGCTGAGCCGATCTGTACCCTCCTGCTTTCAAGGCCCCCATGACGGTAAAGATCATGGTTGAGTCCAGGTGGAACGGGTCAGACCAACCGGTGGTCGTGGCCAAGGGTGCCCACAGTTTCTGTCTTGAGGCTGTAGGCCCTTTGGTTGACTCGGCCCTGATGTCTTTGGCTAGCTCCATTCTACAAGCCTCGGGTCTTGCGCCGCGGCTATGGCTGCCTCCGCCGACCCTCTGCCGTATGGCTTGGGTTCTCCCGAGCCCCTGCCCCGTGGTCCGCCGCCGGGTGTGCACGGCGATGCCGCTGAGGCCGGTCTCTCCACGATGGATAGGGTCGGTGGGGTTAAGGCAAAGCCCTCATGTAAGAGCGTGGCCCTAGGGCGTACCGGCAATGGCGCGCCCGGGCGCGATGCCAACGACCGCTTGAACGGCATGCTGCAGCGCCGTATAAGCGATTGTGATCGATCTTTCCCGATTCGAATCACCGAAGGCTCGGGGTGAGTGTCCGTGCGATTCCGACAGACTTCCCCTCCTCCCACCCGGTGAGTCCGCACTCGCCCCCTCCCCATTTTCCCTCAGGTCTAAGTTCGCTTCGGCCTCTTCGTGCCAGCTCACAAGTCTACCTTCCAGAAGCTGGGCCCAATGCTCACGTGCGTTTGAGCGACGGACCTCAGGTGTTCTGGAAACTTCGGGGCGACCGGCACCGTCTGTCTGGACAGTGCGTCTGCCTCTAAATTGGTCACTCCCGGGAGGTGGCAGAGCCAGTGAATGCGGTATGACCTAAGGGCCTGATCAAGGGCGAATTCACGTGCCAACACGTTGAGTTGGGATGAGGCGGCTCCTCCCTTGGCCAACATGTGCAGCACGCCTAAATTGTCGGAACGAGCTCTCACCGCTGCTGTGTGTTTCAGCTCCGGCAACCAGTGCCTGAAGGCTACTAGCAGTGCGAGTCCTTCCCACAACGTGTCAAATTTGGAGCATCCCGTCTGAGCTTTAAATTTGCTCAGGGCTTCCGTGGGGATGTCACTGGTGAAATACTTCGTTGCCTTGCCATCCACCTTCAAAATCCCGCCAATTCCCCAGGGGCTGGTGATCTCGGCCACGACTTCTGGCTGGCAGCTCTCCAACACTCTAGACAGGGGAGCCGGCTTTCCACCTATGAGCGCCTGGATCCATTTCAAGGCTGGTCGGATCCTTCGGGCGTGCACCAGCTTTCCGGAAGGACGGGGTTTCCCCTCTCCGTCATCCGCTGGTACGCGACTACCCAAGGCCGCCCAAATTGAAGACAGGAAAGGGCGCAGGTGTGTTACCAACCCGGCCACGAATGAGAGGGAGCCTGCGTAAGAGCGTAGCTGCTTCTTGCCAATCACCGGCCTTCTGAGCATCTGGTCGGTGGTTTCTTTCAGCTTGCCCACCTTGTCTGTGGGTATGGTGACAGTGACGGTGTTCGCCTCGTCGTCCAACTCGAGCCTCGCTCCGACCCAGTTGATGGCTTTGCCTCCCTCCGCCTTCGACAGTTTCACGGGAAAACCTGCGATGGCGAACCACAGCATCAGCGTGGTCAGGTCGGTGGATGCTTGTTCTAGCCCACCTGCCAAAACGAAGATCGGGTCGTCCACGTAGATCTGTGTGCTTGCGTCGGGCACAATGGCTGCACATGACCTTCCGAGCCATGCGGCGAAGCGGCCCCATATCGTCGGCGAGCTCCCGGCTCCAAACACCAGGGTGTCGAAGACGATGATCTCCATGCCCTCTTCGGGTTGGGTCTTGGGCCGTGCAGCCACTGTGAATCTCTTGTCTGCCCCCGACGGCACGTTCATGAAGGCATCTTTGACATCCACGGCTGCCAACCAGGGCTGTTGCCCGTCCCGGTAGACTCGTATGGCCTGTTGCGCCACGTCGAGCAACCGCAGGAGGATCATCCTCTCGCCCTGGTGGCAAATCTGGTTGGCCCGGGATTCTTTGAGGTCCCAGATGATCCGGCTCTTCTTGACACCTTGGGGGTTGAACTTTGTGATGACCCCGAGTTTGTTGAGGACTGGTTCACCTCCCAGTTCCTGTGCTGCCTGTGCCATGCTGCCGACAATGTGGCAGAAGCCCCTTTGTACGTAGTCCTCGACCAGGGTGTCTAGGTCGCGCGACTCCTCCTCGGCTGACTTGTAGTTTTGCCAGCCTTCGATGGCCCTGCACAGGTCTTGCTGGGCGATGTCCTTGCTGCCCTCTTTGGGCACTGTGGGAAAGATGCCCGCCGTGGGTCCCGGGTATGGGTTCACTATACCCCAAAGGTGCCCCATGGTCGAGCCACCTGCAAAGGTTCGCCGTGTCGGGATCTTTTGTGGCGATCCCCCATGCTTCGATGACGTCAGCCTCCAGCGGTGTGCTTGCCCGGGCGGTTCGGTGACGAGGGGTGCATGGACTGCCCAACGCTTCGGCCTCCTTGACCCTCAGTCCGGCAACGACCTCTTCCGGGAGTGGGCTCGCCACTCGACCGGTGAGTATGTCGCGTCCGATGACCGTGAGATCAAGTGATGCCTTCTGGGCTTCCCGGAGGATCTGCCGCACCATTGCCCCTGGCCTCTTCATTGCCGGCAATCTCCGTACCGCCTGATGCGGGTTGCGCATCCCTCCAATGGCTGCCCGGTTCTCTTCCTCTCTCGATGTCGGAGGTTTGAGGGAGGAAGCGTCAGGGACTCCGGGTGGCCTTCAGAGGAGCTCCTTGCTGAGCTGATCCATCTTCCACTGGTCGTCGATGTTCCTGTGGAATGCCACGGCTAGGATCTTGCTCAGCAATGTGGTGTACTCCCCCTGCGACTTCGATGCTCTCTGTCTCTTGCCATCCACTTCAACCCACCTTTGGACGGTTGGGTTATGCGCTGCCTCGAAGGTGGTGCCATCATCACGTGTCCACACCTGCTTTTCGTGGTTGCACCTTTTGTTCTTGAGGGCCGAAAGGTCCAGCTTCTCGGTGCAGAGCTGTGTGGGTTTTGTCGTCTCCAGGCCCGTGATGCATTGGTCGAACCTGGTGGTGTCGACTCCCTGCCACTGTGGGATCTCCTTGATCGGGGCATCAACCACAACGACGGTTTTCCCGGTGGGTGTTCCGGGTTCTCCAAGCCCCACGGGCGGACCTGCTGGTGGAGTTTGTGAGCGACTTTGTAAGAGCGGTGGACCAAGATGTTGGAGTCTCTTAGCTGAGCGGCCTCCTCCTTGGTGGGCTCAGGGATGCCGGTGATGTGTTCCACTGTGCGGATCACCCTTGGACCTGGAGGCTTCTCCCTCAGTGGAGAGAACGTGCCACAGGGCGTGGCTATCCACCCAGCTTGAAAGAACTCCTCGTCGAGGTCCTGCTTGATCTCGTCCCATACCTTGTCGTTGGTGAGATCCGTCGGAGTGGGCAGCACACTGTCAAGGCTGCATACGAGCCAACCCAGCCTGGCCATTTGGTGTGCTAGATCGCCCTCCCTTGATCTTCCGGAAAAGACGATCAGCATCCGCGGCTTCTTGGAAGTCTCGCCCACGGTGCTTGTCCACCAGCCATACTTCCTGGGAGGCTCTTTCAGCGCCACCACCGGCCGAGGTTTAGCCGCTTCGCCCCCTGGGACCCGGAGGCAGGACGGGGCTCAGCAGTGCTTGCTTTGGCTTCGGCGGGCTTGCTTGGTTTATGCTGGCTCGATGACTCTGACTCTTCTTCATACACCAGCTCTTCCTCCTCCTGTGGTTCGGTGTGGCCAGATCGACTTTCGACGGCCTCCCTTCTCTGCCTCTTTGTAGGCGGAGCCTTGGGCGACTTTGGCGCTGCCTTTCTCTTTACAGCCAGTCCCTGGGGATCTGGACGTCCGGCGGACGATGCCGAAGGAGGGTCTGCCGTCCTGGGTTTGCCTCCCGGCTTCGATGGTTCAGCTGTGCGGCCTCCGGAGGTGTGTCTTCCCCCGGCCGCTGATGCGGGTCAGTCTTTCTTGGCCCCAGTGCAATGTACGCCCTGGTGCGGACCTAGGCACTTGTTGCACTGATGGGATCTCTTGGATTTGCACTTGCCCTGTGCTTGCTTCGTTCCGCACTTGTCGGCGTTGTAGAGGCGACAAATCTCGACCCCCCGCCGGTTGTACGAATAGGTGCCGTCTGTCCCCTTGCGGGACTTGTCCTCCCCTTTGTAGGTCCTGTTGGTCCGGCCAGCCCTTCGCCTCTTGCTATCGCCTTGCGGAGGTTCTTCATCATCTCCTCCAGTTGGGGCGCGCTTGGACCGGGCTAGGAACAGAGTCGTAGGTGTGGTCAGCTCCTTGTTCCAAAACTCCGTGTCCTTCACCGCGTAGGCGTAGCAGGCATTCCAAGGGGCGGCTGCGGTGAAGCCAAATGTTGGATTGGCATGGAGTTCCTGCCTCAACCTTTCGAGCTGTTCAGACCGCATTCGGCTGTCGGCCTTGCAGATGAACGGCCATGCCTCCTCTCCGAACTGGGTTACGAACCCTCGGATGTGTTCGGCATAGGCATCCAGCCTCTCAGCCTCTGCCGCCTCTAGGAGGAGGAGTGCGGTCCTGTAGCACCTCCAGGCCTTGTACCATTCGTACCACTCGCCTGTCGAGACGTTGAGGCTATAGCTCTGAAAGGTTTGCCGGCGAAGGAGTCGCTGACCGTGTGGGCCAAAGATTGAGAAGTCGGCGTACGGGGCCGCCTGTGCCGCTAAGACCTGGCTCAATGCTGCCAACTGGTCTCGACTCACGTCTGCATCGACGCTGGGAAAGTCTCCATAGCGGTTGCGGTAACGCTCATACATGCCAGTGACTTCTGCGTCACCCAATGGGTGAATCTCTGCGTCCAATGTGGGGTCCAGGACTGCGCTGAGTTTCAGCTTGCGAGCCTGAGGAGCCCCGGGCGCTGGAGCCCCTGCGGCCCCTCCCACTGCTGGGAAGGGGGCCGGTGCCACTGCCGGCGCTGCAGCGGCAGGGTCGCCTGGCTGGTCGATGGTCCGACCTGACCTCAGGCAGCACACTCTCCTGAGTGACTCCAGTCTCGCTTCTTCGACTGGCGTTGGCGCCCTCGCCGGTGGTCGAGGATCTCCAGCATCTTGGATCTGTAGACTGCTGATCACTCGATCCCACGTTGGCCGAGGGATGAGCGCGATCTCTCGCACTCGAGCCGGCTGACCCAGTGCGGCTTGGATGGCATCTGCTAGCGGCCCTTCCACTCCAGCCCACCCTCTGGCTTCCGCCAGGTTGGTGATGGCTTGAAGCTCACCCTCTGTTGGATCCATTGCTTACGGCTGGTCCTTCGTGAAGTAGGGGAACTCCAGGCGTAGTTGATCTCTTCCGCGCCTTGCGGCCCTGAGTTGGACGAGATCCCTCGGTGTTCCGGAGGGTGAATCTTTTGTAGCCGTTGAAGGCCACACCCACCAGGCGCCGCTTGTTGACAAAGCGGATGGCACGGCGTACGAGTCGTTCCCAGGCTAGCCGGGTTCGTTGGCTGGCCGCTGACCGAGGGGCAGGTGACCGAGTGCACGCCCACCCGATCGCGATGCCAACCAACAGAGTCAGGGTCCACACCGATCCCACGACGACCCGGGGGGCCAAACTCCCACCGATCCTCAGGAATGGCAGCAACCACCAACTCCCCCATGCCCACCTGTGGTTCGACTCAGCTGGAGCCAAAATGGCATACGGAAAGAAACCTCAACCACACTCATGCATTGTCAACTCCACAAAATTGTGTTCTCTCAACAATATGTAAATAGAATTTAATTAGAATCAAATTAAAATTAGTAAAGAAGGCAATGCTCCTGACACCCACGCTCCACTTCCGTAGGGTGATGTCGGACTCACGCGAGGCGGCCGCCTGGCGCGTCGGCCCAGCCCCTTCGGTGTGGCAAGAACGGGCAAAACAGCAGATTCACAAAGATGGATCCCTTTGTGCATGAGCAAAAGGTGAGATCATTCAACCTCAAACGTTGAGTCCTCACTCAAACAAACAAGGAGAAAACTTATCCGACCTCAGCAAGAAAGGGAAAAAAACTGTGGATCATGCTGCAAAACCAATCATGGCACAACCCACAACCTTTAAAGACACCAAGCTGGCTCCAGACGGCTCCGCTCGCTGCTTCTCCCCCCCCCCCAGCCGTGTCGAGGTAGCTGGGGCCAAAGCCTGGAGCGATCGGCCCCGCGTTCGTCGGTGCCTTTTGGGAGACCTCTCTCGTGGCTCACAGCTGTTCCCTGCTGGTCCATCTTCGGTGAAACATGTAAGCATGCAGGCATGCAGAAGGCCGTAGGCGCTCGAAGCATGAAAAAACAAAATTTAGGATTCGTCACATCCGACTGCACATCTTGATCATCTTGGCAGCTCCCTCTGTACTTTTGTCCCAGCCACCGTCTTCAGAAACTTCTCGGCGGAAGCGCGCAGGCAGCCAGGAAGATGTGTTAGGGGACCGCGGCAAACCAAGCGAGCCAGACTGAGGTGAGCCTCATCTGTGGCAGCTCATCGGACAGACCGGAGAAAAGAAGCGTTGGTTGTGGGGGAGGCCGCGTTCTCGCGCCCTTGTCCCCAACCTCTTGAAGCATAAACCAGTCGCAGTCTCTCTGGTGGGTAGTGATCCCCCTTGTTGAAGGGACAAACACGCGCAGCACCTTCGTTGCCTCAAGAAAAAAGGGACTCCCACTTCTCCAGTACGGCTCAGACCTTCTCTGTCTTCGATGTCCGGACCACGGACAGGAACAGGACACGATCTGGCGGATTCATGCGGATTCCACATACATTGGTTACATCGGTCAACTCTGTTATCATGTGAGCATTTTCCAGAAACCTACTGAAAATTGGTTCCAATGGGTTCATTCTTTCGCAAGTTCCTTTCGCAACACTTTCGCAGCTTGTGTGTTGGCTTTCGCGCGATGCTTTCTGTGCAAAACCGGCTTCGCAAGCGGTGCGCGCACGGAGCGTGTAAGCGTTCGCACGCTCTTTCCCATATGAAAAGTGTCACAAAGGCGCGGGTTCAACCTCTCGTTGAATGAATTGCTTCATGGGAGGCTAAATCAACCGTGCCTCACCATAACCTGAATATACATGATCTCAATCTCTGGCCCAAGCCTGCGCGCGCAGAGCTGCACTCGCCCGTGGAGCCCCACACCTTCCCTGCATTTGTCAGCCAAGTTGCTGGGGTTCAATTGGTAACAAGCAGCGATCTTAGCCATCAATATGCTGGGTCCAACCGATGGTCAAGACACTGAACAAGCCACACCTCCTACTTTTGCCGAGCTGATTCTCCAGTTCCAAAAAGATCGAAGGCAGTCTTCTGTGGCCCTTTATCAGCTACAACGGGCCCCAAGACCGTGATCTCAATGGCCCTTGCGCTTCCAACCGGTTTGCGCTTCCAATCAGTGTGTGTGTGTGTGTGGGCATGACGACACGGTGCCACCCAGCCACACTCTTCGAGGAGCTCTTGGAACAGTCGCGGCGGCCTAACACCGTCGGCAGCGGGCCATAACAGCTTGGGCTGGGGCCCCGAAGACCTCTCAAGGCAGCAACCGGCACTGCAACTCAAAACGACCAAGTCCTGATCAACAAAACACCAGGGCTACGAAGCTACGCAAGGCTACGGATGGCTATGCTGCTATTTCTGTGGCACAGTTCTTTCGGGCCTCACCACTCTGAGAGCAGGGAGGGGAGGGCAGAGGAAGGAAAGCAACTGCAGTTTGCACCAAGCTTAAAAGCCCAGCCAGTTAGCAGTTCACAAGTCCGCCCCGGTCCCAAGCCTTGTGGTGAACTACGTTCGCGTGGCACCGTCAGCAACATGAACGCGGCACTGTTGGTGCTCTCCACGACCTGCATTGACAAAGCGGCGTCCATTGGCAGGCATGTACTGGGAATGGTGAATGGCCTGTATATAGATGGTCTTCTTTTGCCTATCTTCCTCTGAAAAAACATCTCAAATACCTGGATTTGGTCATCTGCTGACCAGTGACCAGGCCGGACAAATGAAAGGACTCCTTTTCCACTATTGGACAGAGGCTGACTGAAGTGTCAATACTAATCAAATCTTCAAACATGCTCTTTCTGGACCTTCCAACAGCCTCTCTTTGAGATCCTTGAAATGCGGAGAGGAGCTGAGTTGATTTTGGCATCCATGGTCCATCGATGCATAAAACGATGAAGTCAGATCTTCAGACGATGTCAATTTCCTGACCAGCCTCCATATCCAGCTGAGGACGACTCTCAGGTGAAAGAGGAAGGCTAGGATTGCTGCTGGTGCTCCTGGCCAACTCGGAGGAACTCAATTTTCGTCATCCACAGCTGGAGCCTCTCCACCCTATTGGACCTATCGAAACAAAAGGCAGCTGTTTTGGGCGATGGCACCGGTCGTACCATCACCATGTGAGAAGCATATAGAAGAACTATGCCACAACAACAACAACAACACCGTTTGGTGTTGCTTCTCTCAACCAGCACTATGCCGCCCAGATCGCCGCCCGCACCATGCCCAGCCCCGCATCTCCTATCCATCTGAGCCTTGGGGGCCGACATGACGGGACGACTCATCGGCTCATCGACTCATGACCGTTGATCCATCGGCTGCCCCCCCCAGAAGACATGGAGTGGAAAAGCCTCAGGAGTCAGAAGAGGGCTTTATTCATCAGGAGTCTACATTAGGCCCATTAGGCTCTTAGGTTCTGAGATCTTTGTCGTTCTTGGCTGCTTCAACCATGCTAAAGACCAGCCGAATACAGTTTCCACTGGGGCAATCGGGTGGGTCTAATTATCCGCCGGAGGCCCATCGGTGACATCAGAGAAGTGACCTCTGTGGATATGGGGCTCGGCTCAGCTGTGGAGGCAGCCCTCCCGGCCTCAGAGCAGAGTTTGCCAAGAATGATTCCTCCAAGGGGCACATCGGACGAAGCTTTTTTATATAGGGATCTCTCTCTCTCTCTCTCTTTGAGAACGCCTTTGAATGATGCCCAAGGCCCAGAGGTCATCCACCAAAAGGGTCCAGCAGAAAGGTGAGCAGTTTGTAGAAAACCGGCTGCAAGGAAGCATCAAGGACTCCGTCAATCCGTGATCCCCAGCTTGGGTCCCCGCTGTGTTTTCCTTGAAGGTCACGACAGGTGCAAATGCCATGGTGTCCAATGCCTGAGGTTGTCTCGGGCAGTGGACAGCTCTTACATTTCAGTTACTCCACATCCAGTGCCCAGAACAGTCTTCCACTGCTTCCTATACCTCCAAGGGTAGCAAATGACAAGGATGCTTGCAAACGCCAGTCAATTGGGGAGCTCTTCCCTTGAATTTGCCACCAAGATGCAAGGATAAGGATCCTTAATAAAATATCGCACCGGCTTTGTCTCAGGTGTTCTTCTACCAAAGGCGCTTTGGGTTGTCCAAGCACAGCCGCACTTGTTGGCAGCTATTCCAGGACCGATGCGAATCCAAGAGATTCGGGACTGCTGTCGATGTACTCATTTGGTGTTCGATCCAGTTCCGGTTTCTCGTTGATGCTGCCATTGATGCTTTCCCTGAACATCAGTTTCACACACGTCCTCTTGGATTCGCCTCTAACAGCCACAGCTCTCCGGTGGCTTCTGAGCCAAGTGCAAATGCTGGGAAGAGCGATGAAGGGCCTGGTGCTTGCTGAACCTGGAAGAGGCCCTGTGGCAGCGACTGGGCCAACAGGGTTGTTGGCAGAAGTGTGAGGCCACCCATCAGGATCAGCATCTAGACATGTCCACCCACCCACCTGCAAGCCCAGTGCATGGAATGAACCAATGCCCTGACTGAAGAAAAAAACGGGTATGAGGCTGTGAACTTCCTGACTGGCACCGAGACAATGGTCTCGCCTGTTCCCGCTTGGGGGTGCAACTTCCTGAGCTTCTGATCAGAGGATCATCGCATTCCTTCAACCCACCCAAAATCCTGCCCAGCATCCCATGCTCTGAAAGCACAGTACTGCAGTTGATGGTTGCTTCGTCTTGGCCCTCACACACACACTTTAGAAAAAAAGGCCGAGGCCGAGACCCAGGCCATCTTCTCCACTTTCAAAACCCAACACGATTCCAAACATCCAGCCTGAATCAGGTCCCGCCAGAAACCTCCAGAGAAGACTCAAGCACTGGTCACTTGCCATTTGAGGCGATGCTCAAGCACCCATCCCGCCCAGTCGTACCCGTCGTCGCACCTGTGCCGGCCGAGCGCAGCGCCGGCCGAGCTTGGAGCCGAAAGCGGGGAGGGCGTCACGAACAAGACGAGCAGAGGGCGTCACGGGAACACACTGCTTTTAGAAAGCAGCATCTTCCCACCTCTTGCTCTTCTCCTGTTGGTTGAAAGCACATTGAACATCTCAAACCTGGCTTTGGATGGGTCATCGACCCTGAAAGCTGAAACAGGCAGAATGCAATTAGAGCTGTATATGGCAAGCCTAAGGAGAAATCCTGTGCATGGTTGACTTCGACTCCCCCACTTCTTTACCTTCTTGTTGTAACCTTGCTGGGCAACCATGACGATATAGAGAACTGTCTCAGGACAGGTGGGGCTCCAGTACCCCTTCTTGCCGCCTAACCATGGCCTCAGAAGCTCATCTTGAAATGATGAAGGAATTGAATTGGAGAACATGTTTCCAAATCTCACATAGCGCAGTCACATTTATCACACAGCATTCCAAAAATGAACCCAGCACCACCCATCAGGCTCTCTCTCTCTCTCTCTCTACCCTCTTTGCACCAGTGATGCGCACGACCTCCCTGTCTGTCAGGAAGACACGGAAGAGCCCGTCAGCGCCCACATTAGTGACCTGCCCATTGACCAGTACGTCCTGGCCCGGCCAAGGTGATTGCACCAACCAATCCTTAGCAGCAAGCCAGTCTCGGAAAACTAGACTACAGTGATAGATGCCGAAAGGAACTATGGTTCTCCTCACCCCAGGCTGGGAGATCCTGTTTTTCTATGCAGTGGTCCGCTTCTATGAACTGCTCAAGATGGGTTGTTTTGGGCCAAGGCCTCTCCTCACACCTGCAAGCAGAAGTCGCCTACAGCTTGGGTTTACATATGCAATTGAACCTTCAAGACACAGCGCGATTTCGCCGCTTCCGGCAGATTTCGCCGTGTCCGGTTTCCCTCGACCCTGGCGCCCAGGCGCCGTGCGCACCACCGAAGGTTCCTCCGAAGGGGTCGGAAGTTCCAGCTCAATTTCCTGCGTCGCCGAGTGATGCGTCGCCGATGGATGGTGAGAGTGGATCCTTGAAACGAAGGCCTACGGTCAAACATCCCTCCCTTCATGCCCCTTCATGTCCAACCGTCGGGTAAGCTTTAGAGTGTCCTTAAGTCTTGTGAAGGAAACAGCGCCCCTCTCTCTCTCTCTCTCTCTGTGTTCGCTTCCGTTGAGCTTGCCATGACTCACGCAGACCCTCTGAGAAGTCTGGCATGCTGAAGGTGGCTGACTTCCTCAGTTTCCCTCCAAACTTTTGCCACCAGTACACTTGACATATGGAAAGAACAATCCCCAAAACAGCTCTCAAGCAGGTTTCTCAAGTGCAAACCGCGTCCTCTAAAAGGACAAAAGCGAACCGTCAAGGTCCAAGGGCGTCCACGCGCCTCTTTTCCTAGGCTCCAGAGCTCGAGCCCCTCCACTGCGGAAAGGGGGTTAGTCACAAAAAGGTCAACAAGAACCTCATGCTCACATCGGTACACCTCCCTGACCTTTTTGGTCGTAAAGTGGGTGGTACACCGGCATGGGCTCTTCACAGTCCCAAGGCCAATTATGCTTGGCCGCGAGTCCTCTCAGGGTGTCCACGAAGTTGGCCTGCATCTCGCGCCATTTCTTCTCCAAAGCTCTCTTGTGGATCTTTCTCCCTGCCTCGAACTTGTCATCATGAACCAATCTCCAGAACTGCTTCTGCGAGAAGAACTGCAAGATCGTCTTGCGGGCTCCGAACTTGGTGAGGGAGTCTCCAAGCTGTGCCAATCCGTTCACCCATCGAAGCTCTGTTCCAGCTCGAAGCGCCTGATTCACCGCCAAGGTGAGCTCATATCCGGCTCTTGAATCTCTCAGTCCATGCAAGGATGAAAGGTTCCGGGTCATCGCGTCATAGATGCCGCGGGAGTCCATCACAACCGCTCCAGCCACCACCTTCACGGCGTCATGGAGCTTGTCTCGCTGGATCTTCTCTCCAGCAAACTCTGCCAGCAGCAACCTGATCTGGTAGTTCTGATCCTCCCCCATGGTTATTGCCTGAACCTCTGCTCCATTAGATCCAAGGCACTGTCGCGGAGTCTTTCCGCTCTTCCATTGCACCAAGGCCACTTGAACTTCTTCACCAAGTAGGGCTTGGCGGGGAGCCACACCAGACAAAATGCCAGCCGTGCTGCTCCGATCTGGTCGGTTATGTTGTGATGCGTCAGCCCACGTGATCACTGCCAGGTCATACACAGACTTGATGTTCCATGTTGACGGAAAAAGCAATCCCTGGCCACTCTCACGTTTCATCTCCCGGATGAGGCGGTTCACCTTGTAGAGAGACTCAATGGTCGCCCGGTTGATCTCGCTCAGCAGCAAGGAAGCTTCTGCAAGATACTGCGGGCCAGTCTGCGTCGCCCTCCAGCTCACAGTTCCAAGCGCTCCTCTCATCGCAGAAAGTTCAGCCGCATTGAGAGGTGTCTTTCGAGCCTTCTCCTTGTCAATCTCCACCTCTTCAAGCCATCTCTTGGAGTACTTCTCTTGGTTCAAGATAATGCTCATATCCTGCATCTGGCGGATGTTGCAACCGGCGAACTCAAACTCGTTCTCCTCCCACTTGCCCCATCGAAATGCCTCGGCAAGTGCTTTCTCTCGGGACTTGTAGTGCTCGGAGTCCACCAAACCAGCCAACAGGAAGTCATCCACATGAATACCTGCCAGACCATGTATTGATGATGAACCATCTTCTTCAACACGTAGGAGCACAAAACAACATTTGTCCCCAAGGAGCTGTGTCCATCCCGTGTCCTGCATCACCTGAACGCACCTCTCGTACCACTTTCGTGGTGCATGTGCCAATCCGTAGAAGGCTTCACGGACTCGAAGTGCTCGTTGATCACCAGGACTTGCTCCAAACATGGCTGCTAGCTCCGGCGGTGCCATGACATTCAGCTCCTCATCTTCTAAGCTTATGCCAGTCTGCAAGAACGCGCTCGTCACATCACCGGCCTTGACCTTCATCTTCAGGGCTGCAGCTAACGTCAAAATGACGTTGCGACCGACCTTGGACATGGTCGGCGAGGCTGTGGCCACTTCAGTCAAATTGTGCGCCATAAAGCCTAAGACCACAAGGCGGGCCTTGGCCGTTCCATCGCCCTTTCTCGTGAGCACCCATCGCATTCTCATCAGCTTGTTGGCATCGAGGTCCTTATTCTCCTTGGTCGTGAGATTCCTCAAGGCTTTGCTGATGACAACTTGGGACAACTCCCTGGCCATCGCCAAATCAAACTCTTTCTTCTCGGCCATCGACAGGGTGTGCCACTCCACCTCAGTACCTTTGGCTGACATCTTCTTGCTTAGCCACACTGTTCCACGATGTCGATCTTTGTTCTTGGCAAGCCACTCAAAGTCCTTCTCGTCAACCTCCAAGGTGAAGGAAACGAAGGTCTCTTCCTCCTTTGGCTTTTCCACCGCTGCTCGCCGGGATCGGCGATTTGGCTTCTTCTCCACCAACATGAGCTCTTCTGAGGATTCTGACCGTGCCGAAGACGAGGATGATGAACTGCTTTCTGACTCGTCACCGTCGGCTGCCTCCACTGGTGCCTTCTTGCCTTCGTAGAGGTCATACATGAAGGTCTGTCCATCTCGGTCCTGATGATGTCCATCATGTCCACCAGGAAGATCGCAATCAGGTACAGGACATCGATTTGCTCCGGATTCACCTCGCAACGGTGTTCCATCCAGAACATTCGGACCAACTGTCTTCAAGGCCTCATTAAGGTCTGTTGCCATAGAGCTCGGTTGTGATGGGCCAGGTCGATCAGATGGGTCCTCCAACTCCTCTTCAGCCTTTCGTTTCTCACCCTTCTCTTTTCTGACTCGCAGTCTCTTTGGAGTGCGCTGCGTCTCAGAAATCAACTCAAAGAAGGTCTCGCCAGTCCATCTGTCTTGCAAAGTCTTCTGCTGGTCCACAGTGTCTTCAATCGTCACCTCATCACCGCCAGCAATTGGTCGAATGATCGTCTTGCGATCTCCAGTGAGTTCCTCCAAATCCACAGGACATGACGTCGCTCTTGAAGGATTGAACAATGCAAGTCGTGGAAGTTCGTGGACTCGAACCAAGAATCGTTTACCATCCTTCTCACGCAATGCCCACGTGTCATTGCCAACGCGCTCAGGTCCAGGTTCTTGATGGATGGTAGCTGGTCCAAGATCATGAACTTGTTGTGCCTCACTGGGAACATCGCCAGCAACATCAAGGTAATATCGTCCTTGGAACGATCTCATAAGAGCTTCAAGCGTCACAGGTGCCCGATAGATGGTTGTGCCCTCCAAAGTCGCATCCAGTTGTTCGCGCTGAGAGACTGGGCGGATCTGGTTCAGCTTGGCCCTGATCAGTGTTGCTCCAGAAACAAGCCATGCCGTTGATCCCTCCATCAACACCAGTCTCAGAGGTCCAGACCAACCACCTTTGACCTTTCCAGGTCGCACCTTCTGCCGCCACACCATGACCAATTGACCAGGTTTGTAGGAGCTTGCCTTTCTGCCCACAGCGTTTGCCAGCTTGCTAAATCGGTCACCAGCTCGCTCTCTTTCAAAGGCAATCTTGGCTTTCTCTCGCTCCTTCACCAGATTGTCAAAGGCCTTCCGAGGCTCAATGCCCTTTAGCAGCAACTGATCGTCAAGAACTCCTCCGCCATGGCCAAAAGCCCATTGGTATGCACTGAAGCCACTAGGTCCGATATGACTGTTGTTGGCAGCCGCTGCCAACTGGAAGAGCTGCGCCACCTCTAAACGGTCTCCTTCACGTTGCAAGCGCTCCACCGTCTTCTTGAGGATGCCAATGGTGCTCTCCTCTGGACCCATGATCCAATGTGCTTCTGCCGGGGCCGTGGCCAGTCCAACACCAGACCTGTTCAGAAAGTTCATGAACTCAGAACTGGTGTAGTATCGAGCTGCGTCTGAAAGAATCCACTTCGGTTGAGGGTAGACCATCAACCATTTCGTCAGACTTTCAATGATGTTTTGACTCTTCGGCTCCCATGCGCCACTCTCGTAGCGAGCGAGATGATCCACCATCGTCAAGCCTGTCGCTCGGTCACGCCAGAGGATCATCTTGTGCTTGACACCATCCTTCTCCTCGTACTCAAAGACATCGGTGCCAATCTGCTCAAACGGATTCGGAGTCTCATTGGTCCCTGCAGGAGGTCGAGGTCGAGGCTTTGATGCTTCTTTGCACTCAGGACATTCAAGGTTAGCAGCAAGCTCAAGTGCCCAACCTGGTGACCCTCTAGCCTTCAACAGTTGAACCAGGTTTGACATCCCTGCATGTCCACTGGCACGATGAACTCGAAGCATCAGCTGTTTCACTGCCTCCAGACGTTTGCCCTTAGGAGCCTCTTCAGCATCAATTCGCTTCCGGCTCAAAGCGAGGATCTCGTGTTCTGGTAGGTGTTGAGGTTCATCCTCCACCAGTCCAGGAAGTTCAGATCGGCGAACATCATCAAGTAGTGCCGCCATCGTAGGTCCAGGACGTTGCCCTTCTGGTAGTCGATGAGGTAGTGACGCAGATGAGATCTGATCTCGATCATCCATCACTTGGAAGATATGCTTCTCAACGTCCTTCTCCAATGAGCTCGTCTGCTGCTGCCACGCATGCTTCATGCCCTTCAGAATCTCCTTGCACATCCGTGGGGGATAGTACGAAGATGCTTGTGCAGCCATACCTCGACATTCTGCATGTTCATGAGACCTGTCACATCTTTTGTTCAAGGTCAACCATAGCTCTCGGCTGGAAGTGAGAATCGTCCATGCCTTTCTCAAGGGAGTGCCCTGCCACTGTAGCCCGTATGCACAGCCGTCGATCCGGATCCAGTAAGGTCCTCGTCCATGACGTTTCAACATCTTCGTCAGTCGATCGATGGCTCGGGATCTCCAACCAGCAGCAGCAGTTGTTGGCCATTCCCATGCTACATCACCTCCAGAAGCCAGAACATGGTCTAGGGAAGCCGAGATCTCATCACATCGGCGTAGGTCATTTCCACGTCGCTTCAGGAACTTGTCCATCTCTTCCGGACTGCGTTCAGTCAAATTTTGCAGTGCGGAGAGGCGAGTGCATCGAAATGAAACCCAGGCCAGCCGTGGCTTCGCCATCTTGATGGCATCATCCAGCTTGCTCGTTCCCTTTCGGGCATCCAGGTCAAAGCCGCTGAGGTAGTTAATCCGCTGGCATTGGAAACCAGCTTCTTCGAAGGTCTTGGTCAGCAGGCTGTCCTTCGAGCAGGCGATCTCCATCAAGTCGATCTGAGGACTCGTCATGTTGACTAGCTCTCGCACTGGATCCATCACGGAAACAGTCATGGCTGCCGCTATGGCCAGCCGTTTGGCCAACGATGGCCGTACCTGCTTCTTGTGCACGTTGTTCACGGCCTCGAACTCCTCATTCAAGTAGGATGGAGCCGCTCCAGCCGCCACTGAACTTGTACAGGTGCACGTCAAGCAAGTAGCAGGGTTCGTAGTGCTGTCGTCATTCGTAGTGTCTGTTGCAGGAACAATCTCCTGTGCTTGTTGTGGGTTGCGTGTTGGGCTCATAGTTGATGTTGAAGTATTGGTGCCATCTGCAGCCTCCAGCCGCTGTCGGCACATTCCGACCTTCATCCTGGCTCGTAGTCCGCTCAGCGCATCCCAAAGATGGCTCATTCGGCTGCGGACTCCTTCTCCTTCTTGCCCTTCCGGGATTTGGTCACCGCGACCGTCTCCAGAACCGTCTCCACCTCCTCGATCGATGTCCCCGACTCGATGCTCACTGTCTCGATGTCCAGCGGCGTCAACGAAGATGCCGTTGCTGGTGTCGCTGTCGACGGGGAAGCCGTCATCTTGTCCACCTTCTTCTTGGGCTCGGTCTTGGAGGTCGGCTTGACCGGTGAGGTGCTCTTGGGCAGTGGTATCCCATAGCCCTTCTCGCTGGTCCTCGTTGTTCCGCAGGAAGTAGAGCTCATCAGAGCTTCGCCCAGCTTCTCGTCTGCCCTCACCTGAACCGTCGTCCTCCCATGACCGCCATTCTCCACCAGGCTGCGCCCCTTCAACTCCATGAGCTTGCCGTTGAAGATCTTCTCGTTCATCTCCTTGGCCTGGTAGATCTCCTGGAGTTCCACTTGGGCCATCTCCACCACTTCTGGCTGTGGTCCAATGACTCTTGTCTCGCCGGTACCACTGCCCTTCGTGATGTATCGAAGCCGCAAGCCGCACCTGCTGCATGCTTGCCAAATTGCCCATTTGTTGGAGCGGTCTCTGCCCGGCAGGTGAGTGCCCATGCATGGCCATCCGACATGGCGAGGATCTAGGTCGTGAACCGGTGGGCATGCCTTCATTCTCCGACTCTTCGGAAGGATGAGCCTGTGACTCACGAAGTCGTTGAGCCAGTGAGCTGAGGCGGTCACGAAGAGATGCTGTATCCGTTCTGGTAACCACCAAGATTGATGCCATACGATCAACAGGTACAGCTAGCTGACACTCATCATGCTCATGTACCTCGTGTCCACCTGATGCCTCAACTTCACTTCCATGACCACTGTCTGCAGGCTCATGCACATGTCCGCTGACTTCTAGACCATGCTCAAGTCCACTGTCTCCATGCTCATGTCCATGTCCACTGTCTCCATGTCCGTCACCATGAACTGCTGTCTCACGGTCTCTCTCTTCACGTTCAGGTGATCCCAAAATGATCTCATCCAATCTAGTTCCTTCAGACATGAGGGCAAATTCGGAAGCATGAGGAGGGACCATCATGATGTCATGGTCAACCACTGAAGGTGCTGCCACTTCTTCTGTTTCTCCGGCAAGCCGCGAGGATGAAAAAGGTCGTCCAGTCTCTTCCGGCATCGGTGCAACCTCAATCTCAACAGAAGGTGAACCAGGTGCCGAATTGGTCAAGTTGCTAGGTCCGGCCGCCATCAGAACTCGATCAACATGGTCTTCAGGCCTGATCGCACCAACAGCAGCATCTTCACGATGAGCATTCCACATGGAAGCCCTCAGCAGATCTCGTGCAGCCTCAAAGCCAGCCTCATTGCGAGACCGCTTTCGTCTCCGACCACCATGTCCATCATCATCATCTCCGTCATCTCCATCTTCATCTCCAGCATCCGGCTCATCATTGCCGGGAGGTCGTGGTCCGTTCAACTGGTTGTTGAGGCGCTGGATCAGGAATCGGAGAGGCGTCCGAGGCTCCAGCAAGTCCAGGATCAAGTGTCCTCCACCTCGGAAGGTCGTGAGGGTGTTTGCCCACCAATTGCCAGCGATCGGACTTCGATGGGCGAGGTATTCTCCATAGTAAGACACCATGGCCTTTCGAGATCGAAGGTCACGAGAACCAAGGAGCATCGGGGTCCTCTCAGCACCACCGTCCAGCAAGTAGAAGCTCACTCTGCCCAGGGAAGGTGTCGACAGATGGATCTTGGACACAGCTCTCTGGCATTCTCCATTGCCAAAGCGAAACCTTGGCCTGTCGTTCAACTCGATCTCATAGGGGATCCCGGCCGTGTGAATCAGCCGAGACATGCAGCGAATGCCAGCCACTGACTCCGTCGCGCCCGTGTCCACAATCGCCTTCGAGGTGGCCAGGTCATCCGATGACTCGTCCTCTGCAAGCGACAAGACATACACTTCAGGACACCACGTCTCGCCGTCATAGTCCACGAAATAGGCAGTGCCCTTCTTGCTCTTGCCTGACTTGCCTTTGCCCTTGCCAAAAGGTGATCCCCTCGAAGATGAAGGCGATGAAGTGGGAGAGCCCTTGCCCTTTCCCGAAGACCACCTGTCAGGGCACTTCTGGTAGCCGTGACCTGTCATGCCACAGATGAAGCATGGACCCATAGTGCCACCACCAGGACCCTTCCCTTTTCCGTTGGAGCCACCCTTCTTGCCTTTCGACGAGCGGCCCTTGCCCTTCATGCCCATAGGACTGTAGTAGCCCCTCGCAGCACGAACTTTGGCCACTGCTTGCTTGGCTTCCGCCAATGTTCGATTTGCCTCACCAGCCAACACGAAGGCCTCTTCCAGCCTTTTCTCATTCTCCTTCTCCTCAGCCGTCAACTCCACTCCTTCATCACCAGGATGGACTTGATCTCCACCAGCGAACTCATAGTCCTCGTCATAGTATTCCCACGTTGAGGCAGGCGACCAGTCATTCCAGTAGGCTTCTTCGTCCCACCAGTCTTCACCATCATCAGCCCATTGCTCATTGTCCCATTGGTCCCAACCGGCGTCATCGGCGTACCAAACAGTTCGTCGAGGATGACGTCCGCCAGCATCTTCAGGTCCGTCAGAACCATCAGCAAACAGGGATCTCAACGCTCTTCGAATGAGCTGGAAATGGGTGCTGTTCTTGGTCAAAGTCATGACATGCTGTCGCTCTGCCGCCGACAACTTTGCAGCCTTCAGCAATCTATATCCTCGAAGCTCATTCTCGAAGAATCCGGTGTTGTCCAAAGCCGTAGGCCTATCCTCCGGCCGGGTCACCGCAGGCGTCTCGTCCTCCTCGGGCACTCGGAAGGTGACATTGGGTGATCTCGAGGGCGAGGTCGGTGGATCATGTTCTTCAGCTCCGACAGCCATGGATCGAACCTCATGCTTCATCTTCTCAGCTCGTGCACGTTGCAATGCCTGTTGAAGTTCAACAAACAGTTCTTCTTCTCGGACTAAGAGCTGGGGTATGCTTTCAGCATGGGTCCTCCGAAGTCCAGACCATCTCTCGAGGCGGTTGAAGCTGTCAGGAACTGGAAGCTTCTGCAGCGGGCTTTCTCGAAGTACACCAAGAAGCTTGCTAAGGCCAGCCTCCGTCCCAAAGTCCTTGGGATCAAGGTGGCGAACCACGCTCTTGGCTGCTCCAGCCAATCGCTGCCAGATGCGGGGTGCCGCCAGCTTCCTCTCGTTGTCCTTGAGGGAGGCCTCGTACCAGCGGCATGAGGTCGCGAAGGCCTCAAAACCCGAAGGGTCTCCGTCCCATGATGGGACTTCCTCAGCAGGCATCCAAAGCACCAGGAACGCACACAGGAGCTCCGCCTACCATGCAAACCGCGTCCTCTAAAAGGACAAAAGCGAACCGTCAAGGTCCAAGGGCGTCCACGCGCCTCTTTTCCTAGGCTCCAGAGCTCGAGCCCCTCCACTGCGGAAAGGGGGTGGTCAACAAGAACCTCATGCTCACATCAAGGGTTAGCCCCTGACTAGGCAGGATGCTCCAGTGACTCCGCTCGTTCCACCGGCGCACCCCGCGGCCCAGCGCACCGTCACGTGGTGCCCGGGCGCCATCTGCGCCGTCACCAGCAGCGGCCCCGGCGCGCGCAGGCGGAAGGCCGCGACGGTGTCGAGGGGCGCCGGGAAGACCTGAAGGGAACGACCTAAGCACCGGACCAAGACCGACCCAGAGCACCCAGACCCCCGGAAAGAAACATCACACCCCTGCTGTCTTACACGGGGTTTGGGTCAAGAAGACACCAAGTTTGGGGTTCCAGGTTGGTAGAGGTATAACAGGTCTGTAACATGGTTTTTGGGGTTTTCACGGTGTCAAGGGTTTGGCTCGACCAATCACATGGGAATTCCATCATCCCTTTCTACAACACTCTTGTATGAGATAGATAAAAACACTATATAAAACAGGTGTCAACTTCTGAGTTAGGGGTTCCGAGAGGATTCAGCGGTTTTCGGGGGGGATGCTGCCTGAAGAATCCATGGGTTTGACGAACGCCGGTAGAGACTAAGCTTCTACTCTTACTTTCCTATTCCGTGGTAGTGGCAGTGACTCGGAGTGCATCTGGGGGGGTCCGGTCTCAGGGGCAGGTCCATCTGGCACAGCTTTGTTCAAGCATCAAGCGCTTTTGACGGAGATATGGACAGTGAACTCAATGAGCAACCCTGAGCCTCTTAAGCACAAAGAAACGCACCTGTCGTCCGAGCTTTGTTGTCCGCGACCGTCGTCTAAAACGACGACACGTCCCCCCAGAAGAAGATCCATCGCGGCACACCTCCAAAACGCCACCGGCAGTGGATAAGAGCATCTCTGATGCAAAGGCCGCCCCTCCGACATTCTCCTGAGCTCAGGGAGTGTGAAGTTCATACCCCTTGCACAGCACTCAATCTCACCCGTCTCACCCGTCTCACCCGCACGTGCACTTTTTTGGCTGATGCATCCCAACACACCCCCCCAATTCACCAACCAAATATATAGCTCAAGATAGCTCAAGTAAAGTCATTCAAACACAGTCTCCAAAACTCCAGGCAAAGCCGCGTAAGAAACACGAGCTAGATCACGCCTGCCAGCTCCAAGGCACCAAGCCGGTCCCACCACAGCCCAAGACCATCCCGTTGCTGTAGAGGCGGCACTTGGGATCTGACCTTGCCGGTGCACACGCCGCGGCGGATCGAAAAGCCCGACCTCCGGTCGGCTTCTCTCAAATCACTGGCCGCTTCGAACGGCGGACAACGGCATCACGGCATCTGGCCAATTCAAAACGAAGCCCTGCAAAAGCCGCGCGGCGTATTGGTCAGATAGGACTCCCAAACCTGGCAGATCTGAGTGTAGGCGAAGTCATGCAATAGTCTTTTGTGTTTTTGTCATGCTTAACTAGTTTGGGCATGAGGAACCGTCCAGTTTGGGCATGAAATGCGTTGACAGTTGACACCGTTCTGGACGTCGCCGACCTCCAGCAACCCATCGAACCAGCCCACCCGCGCAGCCGCAGCAAAGGCATGGGGGAAGCTGTTGCCCTGCTTGCCCCCAGGCCATTGCTTAAAGAAGCGCACCTCGTGTGCGGCTGAGCACCATCTGGGGCAACAACATGCAACAACTGGAGTGGGGCAAAAGAGTGTGCAGCTTGTCATTCTGAAAGCTGCTTGAAGGGCAAGAAATGCTTTGACCTTCGAAGCCATGAAGACTCTTACCAAGGCACCAGCGACCGATGAACCAGCTCAATCTCCTCCTTGCGGCTGCGCCTGTATTGACGAAGCGGCCCTTCTCAGGTCACGAGAGCCCAGCCGGCCAGCATCACTTATGCCAAAAGGTGTTGAACAAAGTGATAATAAAATCCGTATGCCGTACACGTCTGATTTACATTGATTGAACAAAGTGTAACATGGGGTATGCTGTATACATCTGATTCACATTGATTCATGATCATCAAGAGTAGCTGAGTAGCTGAAGGAGGCACACCAGAAGCCAAGCTCCATCTTTGACATCCACCTGTGGACAGTGCCCAGCGGACCCCACCTGTGCACAGTGCCCAGGGGAAACGCTGCAAATAGCCCGCCCCAAGCAACGGAGCCACCTGGCAATGCTTCACCAACTGAGTCAACATAACTTCATATGTTCATCACATGTCATAATCATGTTCCCAACCCCCAAGAATCATAATTAGTTGCAGGTCTTCACGTTTTCACCACGCACACACAAGGCATAACCACTATCTAGTATCTACTATTGACTATTAACCACTTCAACTTCCTCCTTCCCTCACCCCCCCCCCAACCGCCACGACCTGCATGGAGCCGCAGCTCGCGGCCGTGCGCCGATTCGCCGCCGTAGAAGTCGGCGACGACCTGGGCGCCATCGACCTCTTCGGTGGCGTAGGGCGCCACCCGGCGCGCCAGCTGCTGCAGAGCGCTCGCGCTCGCGGGGGCGCCCGCGTCGCCGTGGCGGGCTCGCTCCGGGTCCAGCAGCTCGGTCATCTGAGAGGAGCTCGGTGGGGAGGGGACTGGATGATTGTACAGCAGTACAGCATGTGGCAAGTTGAGATTCTCAAAGAATGAGGCAGAAGACATCCGGGAGCAAGTGGATGCATTTTGGGGCGCCAAAGAAAGGATTGTGTTGAGCTGGAGTGCTTGAGCTAAACTTCAGCTCCTGGGTGATTGTAAATAATATGTATATGAATATGTATATCTATATATATATATATTGAATCTACTCAGCTCAATCGATCCATGTCGTTGGCATAAATACTCCGCAATCCTATCTATATAATATATATATATATGTGTGTGTGTGCAAACATGTGCAAACCATTGCTCGTGCACAGGAAGAACCCGTTGGATTAGTAAATCACTGCATCCAGATCCACAAACACTTGAGATGTTTCGTGAACCTGGGCCATTGGCTTCCCGGCATGCGCAAAAACATTATCAGCGGTTCTGTATGGAAAAAAAGCTTGGCATGTGGTGATCAAACCATACCTGGAGCCATCCTGGCCGCTGGTCCAGTTCATGGGAAGGAAGGACTCTTTACAAACCTGCGAGCACAGCAGAAACCCCATAAGCGCTGCAGCAAAGGCCAGCCATTTTGCCCCAGCCACCGCATGTCGTCTCCAGCTAGCATTCAGCAGGGGCAAGGCAACTGCAGTTGCACAAAGAATCACTTTCACAGCCCCCTTCGACATCACTGTGCACTTCTTGGGTTGGGTCCTGCCATGTCATCCCCAAGGCCCAAATCCCAACCTCCTTCCGCTCTCAGACATCCTCACATCGTCTCCGTGCCATCGACATGTCTTCGCTTGGCGCTGGGCGCTTGGCCGTTGCACCTCGCGGGCGCCGCTCCCTCGGGCGCCGCTCCCTCGGGCGCCGCTCCCGGGCGGGCGCGCTCCACCATGGCGCTCAGGCGGCGGAGCTTCTTGCCCGCACGCGTGGCGTACCTCTCGAGTCGGTGGCGAGGCGGCCGCCAAGCAGCCATGGGCCGTGGCACTGATCGAGGCCAAATGCTTTCGATTTCGAGGTTTTTCTCTCTCCAGTGCGCACAGCTTGCGAGTTCAGCCGGAGGCAGAAGGGGAGCTTGTTTCTATGCTTCTAGTCTCTCTCTCTCTATATATATATATATATAGCTTGGAGGAGTGAGTGGCTGTTGACTGACTCTTCTCACCAAACGCCCACGTCGTTGCAAGGGTGATGCGGTCTCACAGAGGCTGCACTACACTGCATGGACTGTGGGTAGATCAAGACTCCTTGCCTACGCTAGCCCTCCCTTCTCCATCCTCTCCAGGCAAAACCAAGCTAATCGCTAAATATGTGTATATATATACATATATATATTGTGTATGTATATATATATAACTTAAACATTCACCTTCGCGCACACAACAACTGGAACAACAACACCTTACCTCATGCCGCTGCCCCTCCGAACTCCCCCACTCACCTGTGGCCCTCGCCGAAAAGCAGCGTCAGCAGCCTCAACGCCTCCTCCTGGAGCGTCACTGCCCGTGCCAGCAGCCGCCGATTTGGGGCTGCAGCGGAGAGCCTGTTCTGGATGGCAACGTATAAAACGTCCTAGGGCCTTCTCAGGGTTTGTGAACATTGCATATATATATATATACATAAGTACATATGTCCATGCATACATGCATAGTCTACGAAGTCTAGCCGGCGGGTGTTGGGCTTTGAGCCACTCTGCACCCCCACAAAAGGACGACTTAGGTGCGGACCTTTGAAGTGGAGATGCAAAAGGCATCAGTGTCCATCAGCCTGTGAAACCCGCGCACCGATGAGCTTCCAGTCGACCAGTTCAGATTGTGTGTGATGGGCCACTATTGAAGTGGGCAAGACCTGCATTTTCAGAAGGGTCGCCCATTTGAGCCAAGTAGCTTTTTGACCAGCTTGCCCTTCTCCTGGCACCCCGAGGCATGTGCGTCTTCAGGCTTTACCAAAAATGTTGGACTAGAGAAATGTACCCTGCGTCCGTGCGGTTTTGCACGTCATCGATATGTCGTGCGCCGATCACATGTTTATCAACCACCATTACGGCAGAGGTTCCAACTACAACTCAACTGCCCGGACTCCTGTAAAACGACCCGCTTTTACCGTGGTCGGAAGCGACCCTCGCACGTCGGTCGTCGTTGGGCGAGTCCTGCGAAGTCGCTTTGTAGTGCCGAAGCAGCAAGCGACAGTACTTCTGCATGGTCCAGGCACGCGTCGCGTTCCTGGCGATCCCCGAACACTGCCCCCCCTGGCGCCCAAGACAGTCTTACATAGCATCCTACAACATCCTACAACCCTCCCCAACACTCACATTACATGACATCAACCCCTCTTCCCTTTGAAAGACTGCCTTAGATCCATGCAAAGCTGGTCATATCTGGCAGGCAGCCGTTGGCTCAGCCTAGCCCTAGCTCTCACTTGCATACGAGTCACGGCCAGGGGAACATTGCACTTTGGCAGCCTTGGAACATCACTGGTTCAAGACCACAAACGCAAAAGGTATCATGAGAGAGTTGTAGTTGAAGGACTTTAGCCTCAGGGTCGCTGTGAAGTGCCCAGGCCCCAAAGGCTCTCCCCACAAGACAGTTCAAGCGTTGACACACCCATCAGGGACAAAGGAACCTCATCGGGCTCTAGGCTCCATTTAGAACCAAGAAGGGTGTCCAAAACTAGACTGCCGTCCCCACATTGCAAGTGGGCCACCGGGCACAACCATAAGCATCGATCGACCCCCCCCTTCCTTCCCAACAAGCCTATGGACCGATTCCTCCAGCCCAAGTGGCCCACACGGCTTTCCAGCACTTGCAGGGCTTCAGTGCTACTGCCATGCGCATCCAACCAGGGCACCAGTAAGGTCCAAAGGCGCTCACAAAGCCTCAGTCGCCCGTTCACCCCGCCCTGGCCGGGCCCGATCTCATGGAGTGCCGAGTGCCTGAGCTCGGCACCAATGCTGAGGCCCTAGGGCACCGCTCGCTCGGTCTCCCAGCATCTCCTGGAGCTGCCTGCACCCCCGCGGGGCCGAGGCCAGCAGAAAGCAACATCCGGGGGGAAGTGGTGATACGCGAGAACAGTATCAACAGCCAGAACACGTCCGAAAGTGTGAAATTATATGGTTAGAGCAAAGACAGCTGTGATTCAGAGATCGATAGTGGATAGAAGCAAAAACATTGCGATGACTATGTAACATTATTTAACACGAGTCACGGGTGCCTCTGCTACACTGCTGACCTCCCAAACCAATCTGGGTGTGTCCGCACCAAGCAGTCGTACTAGCAGAGGTCACCTGTCCAGAGCCGCCTCACATCCTCCTCCGAGAGTTGCATGAAGCTATCCTGGCTGCCACCAAGCAGCGTTTGAGTTGGACCATGTTGGCCGAGACATGTCTTGAACTCTTCAAACTTGAGCTCTGTTCTTGCCCCTCGACATTGAAACGCAGGGTACCGTGGACACATAATATACGGCACAGGTAATTCAAAAGCGAAATCCACTGTTCCATGGTGGGAGAGCACTTGAGCGGTTGGCACTCGGCAAAAGCATCGCTTCTGTCGAACACGGATCCACCTCATCGAGGTGTTGGATGCGCACGCGCATCTGCTTCTCCGTCTCCTGATTTGAAGCTTCTGTGTCTCTTCTAATGGGGGGATCTTTGAATGAGCGGTTTCTCTTCCGGACCCTTGAAATAGGAGTGCCTTGCAAATGGTCCCCCAAGCATGGTAAAGTGGCCTACGCTTTTCCACCCAGAAAGCCCAACGCAGCACAGAAGAAAGCCCCCGTCCAGCAAGCCAGAGGCATAGTCTCCACACAGCTTTCCACAGAGGCGGCAAGAGAGCTGTGAGAGCTCCTGGCACCAAGGAACGTGGGTATTTGGACTCTAATTTTCCGAACACCTAACCAATGGATCTTTGTGCTTTGTTTCACTTTGCTTCTTATCACGGCCTGTCTTGGGCTGACCCTCCCCATGAATTCGCCTTTCGCTCATCTTCAATGGGTCTTCCCAACCCCTCCACCTGGATCTGTTGGAAGGCAACCCAAGGCCACCCGCATCGAAGAGAAAGAAAAAATATATCCTGTGCTGCCACCAGGCATGGTGGAGGATAGATTCCACAGGCACCACCTGGGTAGATCGGGGGGACACTCGTCAGTGCTCGTCACGCCCGTCACAGTCGGGTCGTCCCGGTCCCTTCCACCCCCCGTAGAGGTCTACTCGGGTTTCGGCACAAAAAAGGAGATCATGTGGGGGAAAGGACGGGAAGAGGTGTCGAACAAGGGGAGAGAATGCTTTCACAGCCGACTGAGTGGGGCGAGGGCAATCGAACTCGCAGCGCGAGAAACGGATCTGGGACTCTGAGAAAAAAGGATGCGCCCCAGGTCCGGAGCTCGAACGAAGATTTCAGGGAATGTGACCAAAAGAAGTCATGCGCATGCTTTTCCTTTTTCTCTTTCAAAAGAAAACTGCGTGACAAAAAAGGGAATGTGGACCTAGAAGTCCGGAGCTCTAAAAGCACGCACCGTTGGAGACTTGGAGAGTACCCACCCCTGTTCAGCCACAAGTGTCTGGTCCTCTCTCTAACCAAAACGACCCCAAAATCGATCAAAGAGAGAATCACTGTATTGGAAGCCGTGTGCAAGACCTTAAAAAAACCTAACAAATGTGTATGTTGTTTCACTGATCTTTTAGAAAATGTGCTGGAAGCCCGTGTCTATCTATCTATTTGGCTCCTTTTCGGCAAGTTCATATTTTTCGGCTGCAAGGCTCAGCCAAGCGGCAGTAGGGGCAGCGAAAGCCACGGCTGGAGTCCATAGTTCCATCTGGGCCTACGGGTCACGAGGGAAAGTGGTGGAATGGTTTCAATCAAAGAGAAGCTGAGCTGTCATCTCACTAGTGACTAGTGCTGATTGCAAGTTTGCCTAGGCTTGGCACCTACAGAATCTACAGGTCTTTCACCTACAGGTTCTTTCACCAACAGGGTCTTTCCAAGTCTTGTGAGATCCAGCGAGGGCACATTGTATATATTTTGCGGCCGCAATATGCATCTATAATATATATATATGTGTGTGTGTGCTATACATACACAGTATATCAGTGTACTTGCACCTCGGATTCCAACCGCCAAGCACTTAATGGTGATTTCTGAGCAACCATTCTTTGACATAAGAATTTAAGCCCATTCAAAAAAGAAACACTGTATATATATATATATTTATATAGAGAGAGAGAGAGAGAGAATATATATATATATATAACAGTCGTAGGCTTGGGTCTATCTATCTACCTACCTGCCTAGCATGAATCTACATGGCAAACTAGGGTGAGCTGTATACAGAAATGAGATGAAATGAGGGACTGGGACGTGGATCAAGCCTGACTTGATTCGTCGGTGGATGGGTAAGTGGGTGCATTACCACGCCCACAGGTGTCACGCGCAGCGCTTGCCACCGAGTGGTGCAGCGGGCGCCCCCACCCTCACAGCGTTCGCAGGTGCAAAGGAAAAGCTTGGTCTTCTTCAGGGCCCTCTTTCGCTGAAGGGCACAATCCATCAGCATTTCCTGCACCGATCGGAGAACTCAGCGTCTAGACTGGATCGACATCTCCATCAACCTCTGGGGCAAGGGCCACATCATTTCGCAGCAATTCATCCCGCTGTGATCTCGCAATCTGAAACACCTATATATATATATATATCTATATAGTCTCCAAAAATTCGACCTGCCTCTGACAGGTATGAGATGCAAATCTCATCGCCCTCCTCAATGTCCAAGCGCGCACGCACCACCTGCAAAGAATTGTCAACATGCTGCAGCCAAAGCGTATTCCACCCCATGCCCCCTCAATATTCCTGAATGCTTAGCAGCCCCAAATACCAAAGCGCAGCTCCCAAGCCGAAGCTCTTTGGTGCCAGGAGACTTGGGGCTACTGGGGTAATGACATCACTCAGCCCAGCGACATGTACGGCATCCGGGCCCTCATGCCAAATCGCATTGGGCTTGCACGAGTGCGACCTGATAGGCGTTTCTGTTCAGGTGAAATGGGCAAACGACGCGGTTTCTCGTGTCTAAGATGTTCACTGCCAATCATCTGGCCACTTCGTTTAAGATTATAGCAGCATAGACCCCAAACAGGTTAGTTGGCAAGACTTGTTGCTTGGGGGGAAAGATCTTTGGAAGTCTTTGGCCCAATCTCGCCACAACATGGCTTTGCAGGCACCCATCTGGTTTTTGCATACAAACATGTGGGCCTGGGGTCAACCTCTTTGACTTCTGGCTCTCTGTGCCCAGCAACATGAAGGAAGAGACAAAGTATGCAGAGTAGCCCTCGGGCTCGTCCGAATGCTCCTCAGCGCAAGAACTGCTTTAACAAAAGCACGATGACAGGCCTTGGGCCTTGCTTCACCTCTCGGTGAGTAGCTTCATCAACAACAGACCTCGGCCTGGGACAGACTTTACTCCGGAGGCTGTGCCCTAAGCAGGAGCAGGCTGTCTTGGCTTGGCCCAAACGCCCCGCCCCAAAATAGGACGTGGCCCAGACGAAGACCGCCCCCCCCTCCCTGCAGCCGCAGCTTCAAAGCAATTCAGGATCCAGCACCTCGAGAGATGGTCAGGTGGGATGAAAAGAGGAGTCAGGACCTCAGAATCAGTGCCTTGGTTGGTCAAGATGCCTGGAGGACTGGCATCTGTGTCTTGGAAAAGTTCTCCTTTTTTGTGCTGGGATGTCCACCCCCTGATTCTATGGTCAAAGCACGCCAAAGCCACTGGGTGAAGATCGGGTCCCAGGCTTTAAGCCCGTCCAAGGGCCTTGACTGAGATCAAGAATGACAAACTCACCCAGTTGGTTGGAAGCGAGCCCAAGGAGAGTTGTAGGCGAAATTTTCAGTTCGTCGGTCAGGGTGGAAAGCAGCCCGGCATTGGGATATGTTGGACCACATCCAAGGACACCTTCATCTTTAAGTCTGTCAAAAGCCCTTTGGATCCCTTTGGCCTCTGCGGGCGATGTTCTTCAATATGCCTTCCACAATTCTCCCGTCTACCCCTCTTTTCGCCAGACCGACCCTAAATTACCAGCCTGGCCTCAACAGCTCCTCGACTTTCAGCGCGTTGGGCAAATGCAGTTCCTCAGCCAGCGCCAGCACTGGAGCACCTTGAGGCGTAAATCATGGCAGGAGGTGGCCCCTGATGAAATCCAATCCTGCACCACCTCAGCCTGAGAAGTGCCAATCTACAAATTATATCAAATTATTCCGTTGTTATTGATCGGTGGGACGCGAGCTGGCAAGGAGGTTGAGTTCTCTCAGCGACAATAACCCATTGGGCCGACCTTATCTAGCCATCTAGCATGATCCATGAATAGCGTCAACAAAGCCGATATGTAACTCTGATTTTTGGTGACCCACGCGGGAAGAAGGTGACAGAACCTGAAGGAAAGGTGTCCCGTTGGTCAGTGCCTTCTGCAAGTCCACTGCAGCTTCGGGACTGGCTTCAGTGATCGGCTCGTGGTACAAGCATAGTAAGCGCCGCTGCTGCTCAGGACTGCACGGGAACGGTTCGTGGATGGGCATGACTGTGAGTGTTCTGGTGAGGTTGCCCCCGCAAGAATGCCTGGCAGCCAAATAAGGAGACCATCTCACCAAGGGTCGGTTTTGGGGGGAGCGTACTGCTTGCAGTGGTGCTGTGAACCAAGGTGTCCTCCAGGTGTCTCCCGTGGCCTCGGCCTCCTCCGTGTCCGTGCGACGGACGGTCCGCGGCTGGCGCCTGACAGGCTGCAAAGCGGTCGTCTGTGGTAGCTCCTCAGAGGTCAAAGAGCACAAGGCTGCCCAGTACCAAAGGGGCTGATAGGCCCGGTCCTGGCAGCCCGGATCTGGTCGTGTTGGAACTGTTTCAACAAGCGCAAGGAGTCGGACTCCCCAACAGCCCCTTGACCCATCTTTGGCCCTGGCACATTGATCTCATGTGCCCACCCACTCACCATTCCTCCCCCCAAAACCCCCCAAAAAAAGGTCCTGGAAAGCCTCGCAAACCCTCTGCACCACCAAGAAGGCCTCGTTGCTCTTCTCCGCCTCCACGATGTGCAAGGGTGGCTCCTGCCACCCGCGCGAACCGCACTTGGCACCCATGGACTCCGCTCCTCGTCTCGTCTGTCCCGGAGCCTCCAAAACCCGGGGCGCCTGGAAGATGAGGTCGCCCTGCTTGAAGGAACAACAGGATCGAAGGATGCGGCCCTTACCTGGGACGACTGAAATGCCATGGCCAAGTCCGGGTCAGGAGGCGTTTCATGGTGTGGTTTCCACCACCGGTGACGGTGCAACGCCATGTCTGAGTCTGAGTCTGATGCAGTGAAAAACGCCGTAGATTTGTGAAGCTGGGATTCGTCAATTTGTCACATGCAGTAGGCATGTGCCTGAAAATTGGTTTGAAGAAATCACTTCAGTAAAGCCTCCCTGTACCACAGACCCAAACCCTTACTCTGATCCAAGCAACTGGAAGAGAGCTCACCTCAGTTGGGCGTGCGAGAGGCAGGCGGCCTGTATAGCCCTGGAGTTTTGAGCTGCTTCAGCACACTCAGGATTGTCCTTCTTTCACGGGCATCTGGGGCCCTACTTAAAAGTAGGCTAAGCCAAGCCTACCTGGCTCATCCTGGCTCATCCTGGCTCTGTCTCCCTATATATGTTCTTCCGCCCCGTTACGCTCGGGTCAGTGGTAAAGGGTCAAGCATATTGGCTTGAAAGCTCCATGATTCCTTCTGACGCATCCAACTCAGTCCAAGCGGCAGGTGACTTTGCCTGCGAAGAGCTCGGTGCAGCATGTGTTGATGTAGTCAACGGACCAGTCTTCCATTCCATGCGGCAACCAGATCAGCGTTCCATGAGTCCGAAATCATCCAATTCGAGAATCCGTCGATGGATGGGATGGCGTGCAAATGGGTGGCGTGCAAATGTCTAAACTTGAGGAACCTATGAGCCCTCGAGTTGTCTTTGCTATGTAGGTGTGGGTCTGATGAACCTCTTGTTTGGCTCAAGGCTTTGACAGCAAAGCATCACACCTGCAGCCTTCCACACCCACACAGCCAAAACAGAGGCCAACAGCGAGTCACAGTCCGGTGAAGCTTCGTGAGGAATTGAAACCCTGCCAGTCCCATCTCCATTAGACATGGCAGGTGCGCAACACAACATCCTATGACAAATCCAGAACATCCAAACTCCGCGTCCTCTTGCCATTCGTTTCCACGAACCCCGGGGGATGCCACCCGCGCGTCCCCGAACTCGGGCCTCCGCCAGAGTCTGAAAGAAGCCCGGCAGCAAAGACAGCACCACCGTCGGATCCGGCTGGACATCGCCGTCCGGCAGGCAGATCTCCTGCGGGAGATCTGGGCTGAGCTGTAAGGAGAAACCTGAGATATGACTGTTTCAGCCAACAGGCTTCCGGACAGGGTCCTCCGAATTCCTCAAAGCTGGATGGGCTAGGGAATGTAGGTAGGAGGAAACTCTTGGAACGAACTGCCAGCTCATTGCGTTTCACACGGCCCATCCTCGGCACAATCCTCAGCATCATGCAAGTAAGCATCTTCGCCAGCCACAAGGTTGCACTCCTCAGAGCCAAACCGCTGGCAGTAGGGCAGAGTGAAGCTGGATATCATAGCTCCCAAACAGTCCCAATATATATATATATAGACCTAAATCGTCCAGTTGGGGTACATTATCTTCCTATCCAGTCCTGCCCCTTATACCTCGGAGGATGTATCACAAATGCCAACAAACTTGCCCCACATCCTGCGACCCAAACCTGCCAGCAAGCCGCCCAGAAGCGTGCCACCCCGTTGAGGAAGGGCAGGGCCCTCTCTGCAAACGCCAGACTTCCAGTGTATCGCCAGTACCTTGTTTTCAAGCATTTGGAAACGGCAGAAACTTGTAGAAACACCAGAAGCGCCTGAAGCAGAATTGAAATACCCCGCCCTCTGGTTCCTGGAGGCCGGGGGGGGCTGCCACCAGCATTTCACTCCAAACAACTTGAACAACCTGAAGATCAGCTGGACTGAACATAGTACACATAAAATGGTGTGTGTGTGTGTGTGTGTCTGTCTGTCTGTCTGTGTGTCTGTGCTCAAGATGCACATCACGCACCAATCTGTCTGTCAAGGTGCAAAATGAAGGGCACTGCCGCAAACAAACCTCGGGGACACTGGGCACACAACTGTCACGTTCAAGAGTAGGTTCATTATCCGATATTCACGAACTGGAGCGGAACTTTGACGTCACTTCACTTCACCAAGTCCATTCCCCCGTTGCGGAAGCCAACACTCTCCATCCACCAGTCAGTACAAACTCAACTACTTTAGAACAGGTCGCTCAAGCCCAACGCAGCTTTTTCTACGACTGCAAGGTATGAAATGCCAAATCAACCAGTCAGTTGAGAACTCTGCCATTGACATGGTCACGTCCACCTCTCCACCCCTCAGTCCCAGGTCGCCACACCCATCTGCTTCTGCCCCAGGTCGCCACGGCCAACGCCTGGCACCTGCACGCCCTCCGGCAGCAGATGCGCCTGGTGGAGACAGAGAAAGAAGATGCACCAAGAAGGTGAAGAGAAGCTTGATCTGAGCTTCGGGGCCAAAACCGGATAGAAAATCCCTTATGACTTCTGTACTGGTTGGTTGCAAAATCCCCACTTCACAATCCATAGCCGGGGGTGCCAGTGAGAGTGCGAGTGACAGAAAGTGAGTATGATCGCAGCTCATCTGGACTTTGAAGCAGGACCTCTTGTGGGATCTCCTGTGATCTTCCCACCCCGTGCAACAGAAGGCACCGGGAAGGCCAGCGAGTCAGGGCAATTGGGATAAAGCTCCGCAGCCATGCGACGAGCCGCCTGGTCAAAACCGGCCATTCATTCCACACTCACAAAAGTAGCAACCACAAGACATCACACGTTCATTCTTGGCACAGCCATGTGGTATCATGTGTTTGGCACAGCCATGCAGCCACGTGGTCAAGCCAGTAGCCTACATCCGATCTCTCAAGCGAAAGTTCACCGTTCTTGTCTGAACCGCTGGGGCAAGCGACGGGAATGAAGTCCAGGATGGCTTGAAAGTATGGTTCAAAGGCCTCCGGTCGAGACTGGCCATTTGATCACTGGATCCAACTTTCATCCAAAAAAGAACTGGACAGCATCACAGAGAAAATAACGGAAGACATATATATACGGTCATGGAATCTGCCACACAAATCTCAACCCTCTCGCTTTCACATGCCTGACTTTGTTGAGTTTCTTCATCACGCTTCGCCTCCAGGTGGTTTGCAGCACCCGCATTGTAGTACACAGCCTCTGGTGCGTTCAGTTTCATGCCCTACTCGCATGCTTGGCGCTGGCATCATTTTTGCAAGCGAAACAGCGAAGAACGATCACAAAGCCAATACCCCCTTGACAAGAAGCTAACTTATATATATATAGGATGGCTTTTGCAGGTACGGCCCCGGGGAATGTCATTCTCCGCGGGTCTTTTCTCTCCAAATACCCCACCTCTGCGTTGTAGTTGAGGGTAATGTCGCCCGACCAGACCACCTCATCATCCACCACAAAGGGTCCAAAGAGGCCCGGCGCAGGGCCATGCCACGAAGAGATGCGTAACAAATATTGGCTCATGTACCAGTGAAACCTCAGCCGTCCAATGACATGACCAATTGGCTCCGCTTTCTCCTCAACCGCGATGGGAATGGCTCTAGAACTTTGAAGTTCGAGGGTCCGGAGAAGCTCGAGGAAAGAATGCGACTTTGAAACGCTGGACTTTGGGACTCTGGCGCTTCCAACATCTACACTGTCATCTGACCTTTTCCATCAAGGGAAGGTGCCTTTTCCTTCAGACCAGCGACATGGTCACGGCTGAGTCGTGGATGCAGATGAAGGACCTCATCATTCATGGCTCCCAACTGCACTTTCTCACCATGGCTCCCACTGGCTGAAAAGCATTGGACGGAGCACACCAGTCAGACGAGGTGCCGTTCCCAGAAGTTGGTCCAGGATGCCCAGTGTGTGGCCTTGGTCAGAACCCAGATCAGCGAACGAGGTGTCCTCTGCTGATCAACACCTGGCGTGGCCTTTCATGTTGAACTTCCTTAGAAAGCGATCTTTGACTCCTTTGGACCCTCTTTTCCAACCAACACCTCCCACTTCATCTGCCCCAAGCCAAAAGAACTGCCAAGCCAAGCTTCCCGAAGCTCTGCAAGAGGCATCCTGGGCACCACAAGTCTGCGCAAATTAGGTTTGAGGATGATTCAAGCAAGCAAAAAGAAGCAAGCACGGAAACTTCTATGCTACATGCAACAAAGACCTGTTCTCGCATCTGGTTGCCAATTGATGGGCCAATGCATAGTTTCAAGAACAACTCACACTCACAACATCTCACAACCAAACTACTGGACGCTGCCATCTCTTGGCACATCGACCAGGACGATCCGTCTTGTACAGGCAGCTGAGGCACAAGGATGAGAACCTCAGCGAAGAGCTGTCGTCCACTGTGTTTTGCACGTGCGTTTCATGTCAGGAGCTGGGATGTTGTCATGAAAAGGCCACCCTACCAGTGCATTTTGCACAGTCAGCCGACAACATGCATAGTCTCGCATGTAGAAAGATGCAGCTCCCCAATGAACTCCCACATGGACCTGAAGTCAACCAGTCCCATCCCAACACTTCCGCGTACTTTGCACAAGGTGCCCAAGCCACTAGAATCTAGAAGCACAGTTGTCAGCTCAAGTTGTAAGAAGGGTGTTGAAGTTGTATATTTGCTGCATAGGAAGCTCCGTGACCCCTACACCAAGTACTGTATCAGGACAGCCGGCCAGGCCACTCGTAGACCTCGGCTCGGAGTTTTCCAACCCGCACGTGTCCCGATAGACTCGCTGAGCTGCTGGGGCTTCTCCATCAGCGGCCATCGTCCCAGTCGCACCGCCAGCCACCCATCGCCCCTGAGTGAAGACTGGGCCGCAAAGCGAAGACTGGGCCGGAAAGGGCGGCATCTGCACCCCCGACCGACGGAGGAGGTGTTCCACCAAAATGACCGCCAGGCAACCCGGACTGGGAAGCTTCAGCAAGCTAGGAGCAGCTAGGACTTCGTCTTACCAGCTACACTGCTTGGCCCTGCCACTCCGGTCGAGCCACTCCTTTGGCCGCCAGGTGCCCTTGGCACAGGGGCCTCGTAGGAAGAGTTCAGGGCCGCAGCGGCCCATGGCCTCCGGATACATCGACGGATGGAGGCCCTGGAGGAAAAATACCATGCCATGGCCCTCCGGGGGTCCTTCTCGATACTGGCAGGAGGTACGGTTTCACTGTGTTCTCGCTCTCGCTCTCTCGCTCGCTCTCTGGCTTGCTGGCTTGCTGCATCGTGCGAGGTCATCTGAAGTCTCTGGGTGTTTCTTGGTGGGATGGACTGCTGTAGATTGGACTGAGGTCTCAAGAAAGGAAGGCCTGGAAGATGAGGAGTTCACCCACAAACACAGCCAGTTGATTGCACAAAGGCAAACCTCGCGAAACGACCTTCCAGCCCAGCCAGCAGGCCTCCACATCGGTGAAGCTGGATGATCCAGGGTCGCCACCCAGGGTCGCCGAAAGACCAAACCTCGTTCGGGCCGTGGTCCGGCGTGGTTGAAGAGCGCTAATGGCATGGTGCAAAGACTCATGGATCGGTTTGCTGTTGAATATTGATGTCCATCTCAGCCAACAGCCCTCTTTCTTTCATGGGAATCTTGAGGCCAAGCCAATGAAAAGAGGCCTCGTCAGCAAAATTCTGGGTTGCGTGTGATGTAGAAGTGTGGGAGCTATGCACGACATGCCAAAGCTCGCGCCGGGGTTTGAATGCATCTTTGCTCTGATGCTGTGGCCTCCACCAACTCGTCCCATCTTGGAACTGTTGGGGCGCTGCAGGGCTATTATGAGGCCTTAAAAACCTGCACGCAGGCACGCGCTTCAAATGACTATGGTGATTGATCTGCCAACAACCTAGCGATGGGAGGAATCCTCTGTTTAGCTAAAACCTACTGTGACTGTTACTTGCACTATTGAAACAACCAACCAGCAAAGCTCACAAGAGCGTATAACCTACCAGCATATAAGCCCCGCATTTTCTGGATAACGCCCTTCTGTTGGACTGCTTCAGGATCATGCCCCAATCCCTGTTGGCGCGCGCGTCTGTCTTGGCAAGGAACCATCGCACGGGAAAGTAAGTGGCCTGCAGCCAAAGGCCCCCTCTCAGAGTGGACACTCAAACTCTCAGCGTCTCTGCTGTTCGAGCAGTTCAGCTCAACTCCTTACATGTCCAAGCACCAACCACTTCCTTTCTCCTCTCCCCCTCCTCTACTCACTCTCTCTCTCTCTCTCTCTGTCTGCTAGGCTCTCCAGGCTCCCTCGCCTGGAAAGGCCATCCATTTCCGCGAGCGACGCGCAGCTCCTTCTCCCCGGCCAGCACTTGCGAGGGCAGCCGGTCGCTCGTGGCACCGGTCGTCTTCGACACCGGCGCGCCGCCCTGGACGGATCGAGGGGAAGCGGTGGTATCTCTTGCAATCTCACTTCTCCATCTATTCTGTTCGGGCACTCCCCAAAAATGTTGCACCCACCCCAACACCTGGGACTGAAGTCGTTCATCGACCCACCTGGGCGACCCTGGTGCTGGGCGAGACGGGCGGCCGCGGCGGGCCGTGACACCCGGAGAAGGTCCAAAGCGTCACCAGCACCTGCGAAGCCGCCCAGGCCCCGGGGCAAAGGGAATGAGTATGGGGTATGCTTCGGAGGTATGCTTGGCGCAGTGTGAAGACTAGAGTAGTAGCATGTTCAGAGGGTATGCCCCGGCGTATGTTTCGCCTAATTGAACATCCCAACCCTACATAAACCGGAGACGTTTAAATACGGACACGTTAAAAAGGTACAAACCCAGATCCCTCCGGCCAGCGCCCCTCTCCCCCTCCCACGGCTACAACCTCTGGCCTCAGTGCTAAGACCTCCATGCAGTTCCACCACCAAAACATCCTCTGTGGCGTGGATGAAGGCGCCTCGAGATCCCCAAAGAAGGAGCAAGGGCCTTACTAGTAGTAACAAGAAGCTACTAGGAACAAGTGCATCGCTACTAGTAACAAGTGCCTTACTACTAGTAACAAGAAGCTATTAGAAACAAGAAGGGTGTGCTTTGCTTCAGCGCACAGAGGAACACAGTCCATCCTCCGGGCCGCTTGGGCATGTCTTGGCCGCTTGGGCGTCAGGGGTGCCACATCCGGCTACTGCGCGTCCCGGCGGCCACTCGGTCGTCCGTTGGCGGCTCTGCTGAGGCTCGGGCTCAAAGTGAGCGCTCGGGCTGACCTCGAAATTGAATGCGGGCTCACACTTTGGCAAGGATAGAATCACGTGGAATCATATGAACTAGAATATTAAATTATATATATATATATACAACTCGAATTGCCTGGCCTCTACTCTACTTCTCAGGGGCTTGGAGAAACATTCAGGTTATGATCCTTTGCTCGTTCTTTTCACAAGGGCGTGCGTGTGGATGTGGCATGGCTTCTTGCCCGGCACAGCTGTTGAAAAAGGAACAAACTAAACCAAACACCAAAAGCATTCCCAACTTCACGAAAAGTCTGACACTACCACTAAAGCTGGGAACGGCCATGAACGGCCATACAAATGCATCCACCAAAATCAAACGCAAAGCCAATGAGGCCAAGCATCCCCACTTTCAACATAATCAAAGCTGTTCCGTTAGCTGCCAGCTGTTGAGCCATCATTTGAGCCCCGGCAAGGCCAGGAAACCTAAGTGCCGTCCAAACAAAAAGCACATCCAGTGAGGAGAGTCCAAGCATGCACAGGAACTGATGTCTGCTTCAGATGCTGTGGTCGCTCAAAATCCACCTCATCTGCTGAGGCGCTCCAAAGTCAAGCCGGCTAGCGCCTGGCCATCAAACCCGGACATCGGGGTGAACCTGTGACTCCTCCCAACAACCTTTCCGTCCTCAATGCAGCATCAAGATTGTCTGGAGGCTCCCATGTTCGTCGGCTCACTTTCGGCTCTCCCCAACTCGGGCGCCTTCCGCCCGCCGGCCGAATACCCGCAGCTGCTGGCGCCACCGCTGGGCGCCGCAAAGAAACCATTGTGGCCCAGGTGGAGGTCGACGCTCGGGTGCCTTGGTCGGGCATCACGCTCGGACGGGCGGCCTCTTCAGGCTGGTCCCGGACGTCCTGAAGGTTCGACCTGTGGAGGAGCGTCGTTTGGGCCCAGTGCCACACCACAGCCATCTGCCCCCACGAAACGGAGGACCATGGAGGACCCCCACTGCCCACCGAGAGGCTCAGACTCCGAGTGCCAACCTAGGACGCCGCCCAGGCGGCCGTTGCCGATGAGCGGTCCGTCAGGAACACCTGCAGGGACCCGAGGACAGGGCTGAGACCCGAGGTGCAAGAAGAATGGGGGGGCGTCTCGAAATGACCAGCCACACAAGGTAGAGGAACATCACCGAACTTCTCATGACACCGGTAAAAGAGGGTCGAAGGGGTGGGGGGCCTTGGTGACGTTCCGTGCTGTTGAAACTGCAGGGCCCCCACTGGCCTTTGCTGGGCACATTGTGAGGAGGTGAGCTCCAAGTGCCAATGATCTCCTCCACTGGGTGGGAGGAGCTGCTTGCAAGACCTTGTTGAGGCGGCAAGCAATCCACGGTGCAGGTGGGGAAGGAATGAAAGAATGCATTCTTCTGTGTGAACTCTGGGTGCTTGCTAGCCCAAGCCATTCTATAACCCAAATCTAGCATCACATCACCGAACAATGTCTGAGCCCTGGGAGCGAGAAGAGGGCTGCTACATACATCAACATAGTTGGCAAAACACCGAAGTCCCGACAAAACCCCTTGCTGCAAAGTTGGGAGCAAAAACAAACAAGCTGCTGATAGATTTTGACCAGGCTACACCACAGCAGGACCAACTTGCGCATGTGCCCTGCAAGCCTGTGACGGCCATTCGCCCTCTAGGACAGTGTCAGGGCAGGTTGATGCCTTGGGCCTGACAATCCTTGACATCAAAATGGAGAAACCCAGGAGAACTTCAAGCACACAACCGAACAACAACACCCTGTAAAGAACCCAAAATTAACCATTCACACCCTGAAAGACTTGAACGCAGAAACCCTCCCGACAATCTACACAAGGGTACAAATGTGCAAATGCCTAGATGGGGCTAAGTGTCTCCCAGACATCCATCCATGTCCAACTTGCTCGGCAGGCGCCCCGGGTCAGAACCTCCCACCCCTGCCTGGCACAGTCTGATTGGTGCCCAATGGCAGATCCATGGAGAGTGGGACGCGGCTTTACCAGCAGTACGTCAAAAAGATGTTTGCTGCTGCGGCCCATGGTCCATGGAGTCCATGATGTCAAATGTCAAGGTCGGCTTTTTGGAAGGGTGGGCTCAACTAGGTGGGTGCATGACTGACGGTGGCTCCAGTATTCAGCTCTTATGAGGCAGCTCGCAACTCCGCAGCACGGAGGAGGGGAGTACTTCAGCTTTCCATATGTGTATGCTGCATCGGCGCTTATGAGCACTGGACGAGTTGACTTCTACCCAGGTCTGTGCCATGCGTTCTCAATTGGACAACTTGCTGAAATTTATGCCATGGCTCTAAGCCGGAGTGGCTGGCAAACCCGAAAAACTCGAGCATCTGAGAAACTGGAATCGCCATCACAACAGGTCCTTCGTCCTTCCCTTCCGAGTCCGGTTTGACAGGTGAGGACCTGAGCATCGAGTCCCATGCTGTCAGTCTCTTTGGGACGCCCCACCCCCTGCAGGATTGTTTTCCTCTACAAACCAGTCGGTTTTCAGGGTCCATGTTACTCTTCCAGGCTGTAAAATGATGCCACATTCTGCGACAGGTACGCTACCACCTGACGCCAGGGCAGAAGCTCAACTATCCCAATGAAAAAGCTACTCTTGAAGACTCCAGAACTGCCTTCTGCGTCAACATGGGACACCTCTCGATATGCTTTCCAACCACTTGGTCTCTACCACTTGGGATTGGCAGGTCGAACATGGTCTATATAACCAACCCTTGCAAGTCAGTGAAGGGGAAGAAAGGAAAACGTGGACACTTTATCCCTCGCACTGCCTTCCAGGTCAGACACCGCCTAGCTGCGAAACTGCGGCCACTACGTGCAAGGCTTCCTACTACGCCCCATCCAGCGTAGCCTGACGTCAGCTACCACCACCAAGCGGTGCCTTCACTCGCTGTGCGCTTGTGGGGCAGCCAAGCGAATTAGGTCCTAGGTGAGCAAGTGTTGGTGGCGGTTCTTGTGTGTTGCTTTTCTCTCTCAGACTGGTTGTCAATGATCCAAGTGACGAGAAACGCCTTCCGAGCAATCACTTGGCTCTCTTGTCGGCACTTCTTGGTCTTCTTGGAGGATGTCGTTGGCGATCGCTAGCACCTGGCGACCCCACTGCCTCGTTGATTGGGCCTGCACATGAAGCATCATACACCCATGGCCCTCACAAGCAGCGTAAAATTCACGTCCAGCAGCCTCATTGCTCGATCATCAGTCCTATACAGTCCTACACTATCCTCCATGTATCTTCTGCTCTCATGGGGGCCTGGGCGGGGGCTGCCCCGGCTCACGGCTGGCGGAGCCAGCCTGGCCAGTCTTGAAGCCCAAACCAAGACCCCTGGTCTGTGCAAGGGTGAGAATCGGTGAACATCCTTCCACACTCTCTCTAATTACCTGTTTTTGGGGGTCTGTGGTTAATAGTAGCGGGCCAATAATGGCAGTGGGGCAATGACAATAGATCGAATCAAGAGCTTCAAACCAGACTACATCGTCCAAATCAAACACATCAAAACGCTGCGCCCGCGGACGAAACGCCTTCATCAGCCAATGAACACCAGAACGCTGACGAAGACCCAAACGAGCTCAGAGTCAACATGCCTCTCGAAATCAAAACGCAGGGACAATGAACAATGGTTTCTAAGAACCATAACGCCGAACTTCAATTCACAAGCATTGTCCTGCATTCGCCGGAATTATTCAACTTTATCCCACACGAAAAATGAACTTGCCTGCTTTGGGTGTCTCACTTCGAGTGAAACGTGAAACACTGTGTACATGCTGCCCCAGGGCACACTCCTCGCGCGCACTTCCACACTTGCACGTGGAGTGTTGCAGTAGGTGGAGACAACACAGCAACAAAAAGGCTGCAGTCGTCCAAGGAGTGTAAATCCACCTGTGGTGGACTGATGTTCTATGATTCGAGTCTTACCAACTAAAGAATGTGTGAGTTGCAAACAAAGTCCCATCTGATCTACCACTTCCACATCAATGAATTTCTTGCAAAGGGGTTGGGAGAATGTTATCTGTAGATCACACCACTACACGTATACATGTCATCAAATTGTTCCTTGTAGTGTTTGTTTCATATGTGTAATTTATGTAACCATCAATTGTGCACATTGATGGATCCGTCGAGCCATGGACGGATTTCCAGGCGCGTGTGGCGCGCGTGGCGCACGCACCTTCGGTGCTAGTCGCAACGCACGACACACTCTGCCGGCTCAGCCCACCGATCTTGCAAGACGCAGGCGCCCACGGTGACGGTCACAGGGAAGCGGATGGGTTGACCCTTCCTGAGTGGTCAGAAGTCAGAACTCCATCAGACTGGGGCTGAAAGGGGCACTCCATCAGACCGGGGTCCACTTTCTCAAAGGGAGCCATGGACGAAGCCACAGAGTCATCCGTCCGTGTTCTTTTTGTTCTTGAAGAGTCGAGGATTGCAGGCCAGCAAGAAACAAACATAAACAATCGCGCTGTGCTCTGCACTGCGATTGTAACGACGGCTATCCGGATATCAGCCAAGTGACAAGGAGCTGTTGCTATACATAACGTATGGGTACTTGTCCTGCATGGAAGAATGCCGAGGAAACGAGTGTTTTTGATGTTTGTGTGTGTGTGCATCCCTTACGGGGCAAATTTCATTGGCAGCTGCTCCCAAAGATGAATACAATGGGGTCTACCCCAGCGCTTATCTTGTGAATGGCAAAACCAGAAGCTAGCCGTATTTTCCTGACATCCTATAAGCCTGGTGATGTCCACCTACCAAAGGTACACACGGAAACAAAGGACCCCCCTGGAAACCGGCATCCTCTCGACACTTCACCAGTAGCTTCTCTCCAGCGTCATCGCGCAAAGACACGTGCCTCTCCCAAACCTTTTGCGGCTGCGGACGGCAAGGGGTGGACATCTACAGTGAACCCATAGATGCACGAGTAAAAACAGACCGCGCTCATCCCAGCACAAATTACACCACCGTAGACCCCAAACAGGTTGGACAACAAAGAAGCATTCCCAAGTCCATTTTGTGAGACATGGGAGACAAGAAAGAAGACAAGAAGGGAGGAAGGGAGACAAGACGGACACAATGACCAACAAGAAGGGAGACAACAAGGGAGACAAAAGGAAACAGAAGGGAGACAAGACAGACACAATGACCAACAAGAAGGGAGACAAAAGGAGAGACAAGACGGACACAATGACCAACAAGAAGGGAGACAAGAAGGGA